AGATAATACAGCATCAATCTCTTGGGTTGCGGTGAGGATTAGATGAGCAGCTATATGCACAACTCTTAGTACATGGTCTGGCTCACAGTAAATATGCAAATATCTGTATTATTTTTGTTACCAAGATAATGATAAAATGATTGTTGTTTCATGCCACTGTGTGATTTGTTGCATAGCAGTAGACAACTGAAATAATTACCTAAACATTATCTCAGTCTATTAGGTTTGTTAACACTTACCCAGAGAGAGGGAGGAATTCACTGATTTGCTTGTATGTGAGCACACGTTTTGCAGTTAGTTGTTAACCTATTAGTGGAACTGGCACATCTGCAGAAGGGCTTGAAAAAAATTGCTGTTGTTATTGGTGTTTGTTGTTGTTAGGGTAGAGGTGAGATCAGTTGGCTTCTCTAAGAAATCTTTTTTATGCAAACCCCTAATTGCCCTGCAATCTGATTCTGATATTTTTTCTATAGGAAGAGGTACCCACAGGATGTTACTTTTAACCAGCTGGCACTCTTGCATTGTAAACCTTTAAGAATCTGCTATGCCATCCTGGTGGCTCATGCCTGTATTCCCAGCACTTTGGGAGACCAAGGCAGATGAATCACTTGAGGCCAGGAGTTCAAGACCAGCCTGGCCAACATGGTGAAGCCCCGTCTCTACAAAAAATAGAAAAAGTTAGGCGTGGTGGCGCATGACTGTAATCCCAACTGCTCAGGACACTGAGGCACAAGAATCACCTGAACCTGGGAGGCAGAGGTTGCAGTAAGCTGAGATCATGCCACTGCACTCTAGCCTGGGTGACAGAGTGAGACTCTGTCTTAAAAAAAAAAAAAAAAAAAAAAGATTCTGCTATGAAAGTCTACCAAGCAACTTGATGTGGTGAATCTTGACTGTTCATATGTCCCTTACATCACTGTCTAGCATAATGTGGACGTGGGGCAGGGTGACATATTCTTATTTCTCATCACCTGTACCTGAATATGAAGATTTAAAGTGGATGCATATTTAAATAAATATATCATATATCCTGTATCTAGAAAGAGCAAAACAGACACCAGCAGTTATTTTTGACTAATGACAGGAACCTTGTTTAAAATCTTAGAACTGTTGAGTATTGACTAGCTAGCTCCTTATCACTCCAGTTGTGCAAAATGAGTCAAGGTCAGGAGGAGAGAAAGGAAAAGACCTGCCTTGGGAGGTTAGTGGGGCACATTGTAGGAGTTGACCTGGAAAGTCACCCGTCTTGTATGTTTTTATGAGTTCTGGTCATTGACGATCAGTCCCTTTCCTTGCTGCACATTACATTCAGAATATTTTGAGATGTTGGGATCAATGACTGTTGTGCTTACATGGTTTTTGACAGAGAGAGCGAATGTCAGCTCGACTACTGTGTTGCCAACTCTTCCTTTTTCTTTCTTTTCTTTTGAGGCGGTCTCACTCTGTCACTCAGGCTGGAGTTCAGTGGCACGATCTTGGCTCACAGCAACCTTTGCCTCCCGAGTTCAAATGATTCTCCTGCCTCAGCCTCCTGAGTAGCTGATACTACAGGTGCCCACCACAAAACCTGACGAATTTTTGTAGTTTTTGTAGAGACAAAGCTTTACCATGTTGGCCAGGCTGGTCTCAAACTCCTGAGCTCAAGTTACCTGCCTGCCTCAGCCTCCCAAAGTGCTGTGATTACAAGAGTGAGCCACCACGTCCGGCCGTTGCCAATTCATATTTGGTAAATGGGATATCAAGAGTACCCTTCCCATCCCATGCACATGGAATTGGTCAACAGCCAACAAATTCTATGGATGATTTTTCATTAATTGGTACAATTCACTTGTGAAACAAGTATATAAGCATACATAAAGCATTTCTTGAGGGTTGTGTAACATCAAAATGTTGTAAATATACAAAGATACTACATTACTAAAATTGATGACTGTAATTTTATTTATCTCTTGGGAATCAGTTGAGCTATTGATTCCACAGCAAATGTGTTTTGATTAAGATCATGGCAAGATATGTTTGATAGCAGTTCCAAATTATTAGACTCTATTACATATTTAAAGTCTGTGGTCATCTGGGATTATATGTATCTGATCTTAGCTCTGTGAGATAAAGTTATCAATATTTTGTTTCAAGGACTGTATTGTCAATGCTGTGTAATTACCATGTGTTGTTTAAAAATCACACATCTTCCTAGATAGTTTGGAGCATGCCGTGATACTGAATGCTGTTGTTTATGAGAACTGGGGTTAGATCCGTGAATGCGGAGATGAATATGCTTCACATGTGTTTGCAACAGGCATATATACAGATTGAATCTGCACTAGTTGAAAGAGTTTAACAGTTGAAGCTTAGTTCTCCAGCTGTGAACATTGTTATTTATGGTGTTTATTATAGTTGTGGCAGTGAATGATTCTAGAAAATCATAGATAGATTTCCAGGAAAACTTGATTTCTTAAAAAATCGAGAATGTTTTGTTTTTTTCACTTGTACGTGAAACTAAACTGTACATCTTGACTTTAACACATGTAGAATTATTCAAGAACAATAAAAATTCAAAGAAAAACCATCATGAATATATATTTAATATTTAAATGTGTTAAGTGGAACACAGACCCAGTCAGGTTTTCATGATTTATCAGTTTTTAACTTCAAAGACTCTGGTTAGCTTGCATTTTTTAAACTAATGAGTTTATCAGAGCCAGTGGGGAAGATGGTTAAAGTATATCAGCTGTAAATTAGTACAAAGCACTAAAAGGGACATTAGCCTCTAATCAGATTCTAACAGTTCATTAAATCTGCTTTTCCAGAATCGCTGTCTGTCTTTTCTCCTCTTTTGCTTGGGCCTTCCTTATAAGGCATTTTCTTGCCTTTTCATCTGGGCAAGAACTCCTCCAGGGTAGGAAGCACTATCAGTTCATCCTTCATTGTCTACCAGCCAAACAGCCTACAGGGTGCTTTGTTAAGGTGGATTCCTAGAGCTACTGCCAGACTCCAGAGAGTGGAGGGCTGGCCGGCTGCAGGAAGGCTTTCCTGAGACTGGATGGTGGTAAGCCAAGCTGGCTGCTGCCAACCACGAAGCCAGTGACACGTTAGGAATTGAGATCCCTGCCCCATATGAAAACAACCCACAGGCCTCCATGAAAGGGTTTCAAGTTTAGAACAACTCACCTAAGCTCACCAGTAATATACCAGAGTTCCTTCTACTCTAAATTATCTATTAAGATGTAAAATTCTGAAAAAAAGGGACAACTCAAAAGCAAAAATTTTTTAAAAGTATCCTGCCAGTTTTGAATATATCGAACACTTATAGGGAAATAATATTGACAGTAATTTGTTTTCTTCTTTTTATCACTTAGTAGACTAGGTGGTATAGACTTTTTAAATGCTCATTAACTCCAGAGTAAATTTGCTTTTCCTTGTTGATTCCTTGGAGCAAATATTCATGATAAGAGACTGTAAATTTTATTTCTTGGAACATTTTTCTTAACAAAAAGAAGAGTCAAGAAATATGAGAAGTAGAGTTTCACTGTACTGCACTCTGTTGGTATTACTTGGTAACAAGAACATGTAATTTATGGTTTGTTGAAAGGAGAGTTGTTTTTATTTATTTATTTTTGAGATGGAGTTTCACTCCTGTTCCCCAGGCAGCAGTGCAATGGCGCGATCTCGGCTCACTGCAACCTCCACCTCCCAGGTTCAAGTGATTCTCTCACCTCAGCCTCCCAAGTAGCTTGGATTACAGGTGCCTGCCACCACACCCAGCTAATTTTTGTATTTTTAGTAGAGATGGGATTTCACCGTGTTGGCCAGGCTAGTCTCGAACTCCTGACCTCAGGTGATCCACTCGCCTCAGCGGGGTTACAGGCGTGAGCCACTGTGCCCGGTCTGGTTGTTTTTATTTAACTTGCTATTTTGTAGAAAAGCGACCATATTAAAAGTGAACACTTGAAGATTTAGAAATTATACTCACCTTTTTCACCAGGTAGGCAAAATATTTAGAAACTGATTTTTTTTTCTTAATAAGACCACTTTAGTGTCCTGTGGTTACGTTCTGTAATTAAATAAAAATAACCATTCTAAAATCTCAATCAAATTTAGTTCTGTCAGATTTGTAGTTGAGTCAGTATGTAACAGAGAAATTAGCATTCTAAACATGTTTAAAAATATGAGCCTGATTTGGGCCTTATGCGAGCACTGATGTGTGATTCTGACTCCCTTCCTAGGTGGCTGACTGTAGAAAATCCCCAAGGCAGTGACAATTACATAGAAAATAACCTTGATTTAATCTTTTATAAATGGTGTTTGAAATGTTATTGAGCTACAATATAAATAAGATTTTCTTTTCAAGAGGTGGTAAATTGAGCAAAACATATACCAGAATAAAGACCAAATAATTATTTGTTATTTAGTTCAGCCTAAAAATTCACTCTTAATCTAAGATTTATGTGGGTTGTTTGTAAAGTAGATATTTGGAGGTTGATAGGTTGAAATTTTCATTTGACCAGAATTGCCATGACATAAAAATTAAACTTATGGAATTATCTTACTTTTAAATGATTTAGGCTTTGACTAATACAAGAGTTTATGAATTTTTATGTGATTTTCTCCTTTATGGGTGTCTTTGCACAATACAGTTTCCAGAACTAAGGAAAGAGAAAAACTCTCCTTCTGTTTCCTTCCACTATTGTGAAAGTGTGATGAATTGTTGCAGCCCCATATAAATTAATGTAAGGTTTCCATACTCCAGTTTATTACAGTCTGACCTCCAACCCAGAGGTCAGAGAATCAGACTGATTAATTCAACTGCTTGGTCATTATTTCAAATGAAAGTTCAAAGTAGGGGGATAATTGGTTATGCCGATATTCTCATTTAATTATCTTTATTGTTTAAAAAAATTAGGTTAGCAGTACTAAATGTACTACAATGACGGAAGACTCTCCCAGAGGTCCTCTTTTGAATGCTTTAGAGCTGAATCTTTCTCTCTGCCTTTTATTTTCAGAATATCAACACCTTTGAGAACAGAATGTTAATGCTTGATGGGATGCCGGCAGTCAGAGTCAAAACAGAGCTTCTGGAATCTGAACAAGGGGTAAGCACAAGTTTCCAGCAATGCCCCACTCCTTTTGATGAGAGTGGCATTCTTCTGCAGAGTATCCTGAGGTTTGCAGAGCACTTCTACGGTTTCCCTTGCTTAAGCTTTTCTCTCTCAGGTTAAAACAAACAAACAAACAAATCTGAGATTGTGGTTGATTTGTATCCATTTGCGACTTCAACTGTTATTTCCTTGGAAGGCATAGTGTCCTAAAAGTTGGAAGGCATAGTGACATTATGAGAACCATATGGCTATATCTAAATTAGTAAATGATTTGAAAAGCTAATAAAAATCCAAAGCAAAGAGGAAGTATTAAAAAATCAGGTGGGAATATAACCTTAGTGTCATCATAGTTTGGTTGATTCTAATCAGGAAATGACAAAGTACAGCTGTGAGAATGTTACTGTTTGTTGGATGGGCTTCTCTTTTGACATTTGTACCTGTCCTTTCTTACTGTAGGAGTACTGGGGGATAGTTGATGAGGTCACTGAATTTGAAAAATGTCTTAAATCAAAAGGATTATTTAACAATACATAGCCAAACCAATGAATTAATTTATGGGTACTGAAAATATAAGGACTACGAGTGCATATTTTTTTAAATGACATAGATTTTATAATGAACATTAATGTCTTCACTGGTTTAGTTAAGAGCATAAGAGCAGTATAATTGGTTGCAGCATTGGCAACTTTAAGGGATAAAGCACTGCTCATGTGGCTGAGTGCCTATTGGCTACCTATCTTATTAAACCACCACCACTGAGGCAGCACAGGTGACTGACAGAAGGACATAAATACGTATATAATATTCACCTTATCAGTGTCTCTCTTATTAAAACATCATTACTAAAAATTAGCAATGTTTTGTACTTGAACATTCAAAAGAAATTTTAAATGTGAATAAAATCTCACTGTTAAGAGTATAAAAATCGATGTGGATAAGTGCATCTGGGATCCTACTCAAAGGGTTAGGGTATTGATGTCCCAAAAGGATTTCATAATGAGGACATTCAAGGTTATGGATCCGGATGGTGTATTTAGAGGGTCTCTTCAATAACTTCTGCCTACCTGAGCATCATGTAGCGGAGTGTGTGGCATGTCAATATAATTTATTTCACTGTAAGCCTGTGTTTGAACAGAGCCTTATCGTGGTAGAAGATGTCTTTTCACCTCTGTGTCCTGGGTTGACGTTTTTAGCTCTGAAATGAACTTTATGGAGTATGTCAACCAATAACATGACTCCACGATCCTAGACATGATATAATGACCAACTCATATAGATTCAGCGCAAGACACAGGCAGTAGAGGATCATGAGGGAGCAGACTGTGGCAATTACTAACATTGGTTCAGTATAGACAACCTTTCAGAAAACATCATGTGTTCAACTGAATTTCCTAGCTGGATTCACTACGTTAAATTCTGTATATCTTCCAAACCTTATAGATAGTTTTAACCTTTTTTGATTAACCTAACCATGGGGAGGATTTGTCTTAGTTCTTTAGAGTTCTGTTTTCTTAATTCATTTCTTAATCTAGTTGCATTATCATGAGTTTAATAAAATAAATTTCTGCTCAACTCATATAGAGTCTAGCATCTTATTCAGAAAGGATAGCCTTTTCCCACTGCTCACGGGGAAAAAAAGTGAAAAAGCAGTCTGTATTTCACAATAATTTCTTCAGCTTGAAATAACAGACAATCTGTTCAAACTATGCACGTTGGAGGAAGGCAGAAACTACAGCAAATCAGTTAGAAGCTTAGCCCCGGACCAATGGTCAAAGCCAGAATAGTGGGTTGCTGTCACCAGTCCTGGTAATCTTTAACAATATCCATATAGTTCTTTCCCCTTTATTTTTCGGTTTCAAGGTAAGGTCTACCTGAAAGATTTAAGTGCACAAAAAAACAAAAGCCAGTATTCCCAGCAGTTTTGCAGTGTGAGTAAAAACCCCATGTCACGTTATCATAGAAAGCGTTTTTTTGTCCTTAGATAGGGACATGAAAAGTTGTGGGTTCATAGGTATTGCCTAATGCCTGTTCATGAAAATCAATTTTCCTCTTTGTGAATAGAGCTGATGTTGGTATTTTAGATTGTGCATGTTGAAGGGAAATAGAACTTTATTTTTTTCCTTTTGGGTTTATGTGTACCTCTTAAATATATGACAGATATAATTTCATTCTGTTTTGTAGCAAAGCTTCAGGAGAATCAGCCTGTAGTGTTTAATGAAATGTATGATGATTTAACTCTATTAGAATACAACAATTTTAACACTTTTGTAGTGCTTTAAATCAACTCTTCTTTAAAACAAAATCTGGAATTTTGGTGACTTTCATTTTTGGCCACTTTACTGGGTTTTTCATTGGAGAAGATGTTGTTATATACCATATAATATTCAGAATCTTAGAACTATTTTTAGATAAGGAGAACTAGAATTTTGAATATTTCATGACTTCTTCCTCATTTATGACTTAAAGGCTGGTTGAAGTTTAATTCTTTGTAAGAAAAACACATTAGTGAAATTTCAATAAATAATTACACTCACATGTGCAATTATGGGCATTTGTTTATTTATCTATTTTTACGACATAGGGTTTTACTTGCTATGTTGCCCGGACTGGACTCAAACTCTTGGATTCAAGTGATCTTCCTGCATAAGCCTCTCAAGTAGCTGAGGTTTCAGACATGTGCCACCATACCCAGCTGATTATGGACTTTTGAAAAAGATGAGACATGATAATTAACAATGAACAAAAAGTGATAGAAACTTGTCTGTGTCACAGCAATGAATGAGAAAGCTTGAAGAAAACCTGAAGGTGGTACATTGGTTGGAATGTATAATCACTCTGAAAAACCTAGTTTTGGTACTCTGTCTTTAAGAAATAGATACTAATCTCAATCTTTTGGTGAAGAAAAGCCGGTATTTCTCTCAGGCTGCACACAGCATTTTAAAGATGTGCTACTCTACATGCCCTTGTGTATCGGTGCACCAGGAAGGCATGTAGTTGTTCTCTGCTGTGTGTTATAAAGAGTCCTTTAGGGCTTCTGCTGTCAGCCGGGCTCCGCATGTCTCCCCACCCCTCCAAGGAATTCAGGACCTGAGGAGCACATTTCAGAGGTTAAAGACAGACTGGGAACAGGCCTGCGTCTCTTCTCTGGAAAGTTCTGGCTGCCTTGCCTCATTCTCTTAATGAGATTTATGTTGTGTGTGTGTGGTCATGTGTCTTCAATCAGAGTGTAAACTCCTAGAGGACAAGGACTATTTCTTATATTTCTGGTTTGTATCTCTTATAGTTTCTGGCACATGGTAAATACATTATTTATTCAGCTTTTCTGGGCATTATAATTAGCATGGTGAAAAACATAAAACCAGTCAATAGATAATTGTCAACCTGCTCTATATCATAGGGTTGTTGTGAATGTAAAAATCAAAATTGTAAATATTGGAAATACGTGTTCTCATTGGTGACAGGAGTCCTCATCTTGTAGCCATGTGAACCGGATAGGTGTGGTAGCATATGGGTACCACCTCTGTGTGCCTTCTGTTTGGAGTTCTCTGACTCTTGCATTTTTAGTTAAGTGAAAGCTAGGCAGATGATTATTGCAGTCACCTGAAATGTGACTTTGGTTTTCTTCTTGCTTGTTGGTAACACAGCACATGCTGCTGGCAGTCTCTAGGAAGGGCATGTTCCCTTGGGATACACTTCAGGGGCACAGCAAGGAGTGTTTGAATGACTTTGTCTGTGACTTTGGTGTATGCGCCCTGCTGTTATAAGAGCTTCCCAAATGCTGTTAGTCTTTGGATGTTCTAACATGTTATTAAGCAAAGGACTGAAACAAGAAGAAGAGTATTAAAACTATCACACCCAGCTATAAGGCAGTATATAGAGGATACTGCCCCAAAGATAACTACGTGATTTTATTCCTGGCCCTGCAGTTTACCAGCTTGAATGACATTGGGAAGTTATTTTCTATCTCCAGGCCTTTATGTCCTCATCCATACAATGGAGGTGCTGGAGATGAGGGCTTCGCTGCCAGGTAAAGTCTGTCATTCTGTGATCCTGGTGAGGAGCAAGGGGTGAGACAGAGCCTTTCTATTTATGCATTTAAGAGTCTTACTGCAGTCAAGCTTCCTATGTATGGAAGTGTAAATTCACAGACTTCAAAGTGAGAAAGACCTGAGTTCAGATGGTATTCAGCCTGGTACCAGCTGTGTGGGTCATACTTAGTCTCCTCTAATCCTACTCACCTGGAAGGTGGAATTAACCACCCGTCCTCGCAGGAGCCTGCCTGCCTTTGGTGGGTGCTGAGTCAATATTCCCCTTTAGAAGAAAAACGGGAGAAAAAGGCCCTATTACTTTCATTTATGTTGCTGCAATCCTCATGAGGTATCTAGTAAGATTTCGACATCTGTGTTAATTCATAATTCTCCAAGTAGATACAGGGTAGATCTGAAATTAGAACCCCCTTTTTTTTTTCATTTGAATTTTCATTTAAGCATATCTGGAAGAATGTTTCAAATTCTGATTAGATTTTATGATGTGAAATAATGGAACACAAATAATAATGTCAATAACAGAATAAAAACAGAATATTGGAACCAAAGAAATGAAAATAGTTTATTCTGCCTAATTTTGTGTATTTGAAATTCTTAAAATGTTTTAAAAAGAAAAGATGAACTCTCTAAATAAAAATATTTTTGAAAACTACATAGGTGCAGAGGACTGAGAGGGAGACCTGAAAGCAACATTTCTTAGTCACCCTCACTGTTTATTTCCTAAGTCTGAGGAATCTGCCCCAGGGAAGGAGCTGACCTGAGTGTCTACACTAACTGCAAGGGTGTTGAAGCCATTGGTTATCCTGCCTCTCTTCTCTCCTGTAGAACCAGGTACAGTTCTGATCCGTGGGCCGGTAGAGAAGAGTGGCAATAGTGTGGCAGAAACAGGGAAAGAGATTGGGTGTTTTGCTAATTTTAAGTGCTCTAAGCAGTCAGTAATTGAATGGA